AAAAAAAAAAAGTTACAAAAGGCGGCATGTGCCAAGGGGAATTTCATTTTTAAAGGGAAAAATAATCTAAATGGAAGGGAAAAATAAACATTTTAATTCAAATAAGTAAAAACTTTAGGAGTAGGTTGTTGTTTATATTCATAGAATCTCATGAACATTTTTTTTCCTTTTGTTTAGCAGCCAAATGCCCAACCCACTGCACCACCAGTTTCTTTACTTCCTGACCACTAACACTGAATTGCTACTCCTTCCTCATTTATCCACTAGCCCAATCCCTTTCATTATTTTTTTTTAAATGCTTTATTACGAATTATGTGATAGTTTACATAGGAGGACATTAGCTTCACATTGATCCTGTCATATATCGTTTCTTTGCCATGGTTACAATCCCTTCCATGCATCATCCATCAACCAAAGGGTACACCCCACAAGCCTGCCCCCTGGTCTTCCACATACCACCCCTCTCCCTCTCCAGATCCGAAGTCTCCAGCTGCTCCATCTCCCTATGTCATCGTCTCTGCCTCCATCCCTGGCATCACTGCTTCTGTGGATAGGGTTCCGTTTGTCTGCTCTTCTCCTTTGATGATCCCAGGGACCTCCGCTCCTAGACTGCAAGGTTAATTACTTCCCTCCCATTTTTAAATGACAGGAATCAAATTACAAATAAAAGAAAATCACCTTTGGAGGACCCCAGAACTATGGCTCTCAACCACCCTTCAGGTCTGGAAAGGAACTCACCTCTGTGGCCCAATTTTAAACTAAACATTAGATAAGCATAGGGGAACAACAACCTTAGTCAGGTATGCTCACCTGTCAATCATTCAAGATCAAAGGAACCACATTTACCTCAGGACAGCGTTCAGAAGGGTTGGGAAGGAGGGCGGACTGTAAATAGGAAGTACATGGAGGATGTGGGATAACTGTTGTTACATGGAGGGGACGGTAATCATTGAATGATACAAGGTGTATGGCTTGTTGAATGTAAAGGTGACAGTCTGCTCTGTGAACTTCTACTCAATTCACAATAAAAAAGTTTCAATAAAAAGGAAGTCACTTCTGTTGTATGTAATCTGGCAAGTCCCTAAAACAGAAAGTAATGGGAGCGACTCTTTTACCTTGTAATTATTCATGATTTCAGTTAACCACGGCTTGACTGACTTCACTGTGTCTTCTCGCAAGTATTTTTCAACCTCAGTTCCATCGTTAAAAGTCCGGTTTCCTACATGGAGCGCTTGCCTCACTTCTGGGAGTGACAGAAATTTCCCATAGTAAGTTTGGTCTTCAGGTTCCTGGCAGAAGAGAGTGTTAGAACGAGATTAAGGAATTGTGTGCTGGGCCAAGGAAAAAACTACACATTTCTCATAACAAATAACATGAAATGTGACTTGTGACATGACAAATAACTCCCTGCCCTTGAAATGTTAACTTGGAGGGTTTTGAGGTAATTTAACAACAAATCTGGATGAGTTCCATATTCTCAGAGGCAGTCCCCAATGAAAACACTGGACTTTCCGTTTCAGAAGTGAATCTTACATAACCTGTGACTCTAACAAGCCTATGATACGCAACGATGCTGGACAAGGAAAGAGATGAGATTATCATAATCCATTGGTTCTATTGAAAAACAAAACACTGCAGCCGTGGAGTCGATTTCCCATGAGGGTTCAGAGTAGACCTACCTCATAAGGTTCCCAAGGCTGTGTTGCTGTAGGATAAGCACTGGACTGCTAATTGCAAGGTAATTTGTTCAAACCCATCAACCAGTCCTAGGAAACCCTATACAGGGTCACTATGAGTCAGAACCAACTCCATGGTTCTTAACAACAACCAATCTTTACAGGAATAGGCAACTTTATCTTTCTCCCATGGAGCTGCTGGTGGGTTTGAACTGTCAACCTTTTAGTTAGCAGCCCAATGCTTAACACTGGGCTCTATGGAAGGAAGGTCAAATGAACTCCAGTAGGACCAGATGATGGTGTTGTGGATTAGAAGTTGAGGACTTTTCTTCCTCCTTATTCTGTTGCTTCATTAAAACTAAACATGAAATACCAGCTGGCTATAATCTAAGGAGTAAACTATACCAGAGACAAAAACAGATGATACTTTTAAAAACAACTAAAGGCACAAGTAAAACTGTTCATGTGCCTGATTTATAAAACAACACTGCATAAAAATTCCTATAATTTTTATTACATTAAAAGGGGGAGAAATAGTCAATCTTACTGTAAAAATTTCAAGTTAAAAAGCAGAAAAAGACTATTAGGGTTTGAGTTCATGCATCATGCCCATCTTTTGCTAATTATGAATTATCCTATTTTGCAAAGAAAAAAATGTAATCAGAAATTATGCTTCTCTCTTGCCTGCAATATGTCTTTTGCTTGGCAAAACCTAATTCCCAAACCACAAGATTGGAGAATTCCACTGAAATGAGATTTATATTTTATTTATAAAATAGTTCAAAATAAAGCAATTAAAAAACTGAATGTATTATTATATACACTAGACCAAGATCACACAAATCCAATCCATTACTTTGGCTCCCTTTCTTTTATTTGATTAATTCTACAGAAAACACATCAACTTTGGCCTATTTTAATGAAAGAAACTACTTGAATACTTTCAGAAATATTCCAGAGGGCTTGAAGTGAGGACCATATGAAATATACTAAACATCTCAAATTACAACTAAGACAAAGCAAATATTTTCATAAAGACTTCAGCAGTTCTGATTTAAACTTGCTTAAATACAGAATAAAGAATGTGGGCATTTTCAAGAAACTCACTAGCTACTTGGAATTCTGGGACCGTATACCCAGAAATTCAATTCCGGACTATGTACTTCACCAAAGGGCCTCATTAAAAGAAGCTTCACCGGAGGATAATGTGCTAATCAGAAATTGTTTTGAGTTGTCTGAAATGATACACACTTTTGATAGTCAGATTATCATGCATACAATATTGGCGAGGAAAAAACAAACGGGTCTTCTTATAGGTTAGTAGATGAAACCATGAAATCCAATTCAGACATATCATGTATCTAGATTAAAGTCAGCTATAATATTTCCCAAATCAAAGGAAATTTGATATGCCTAAAGACTTAATCAAACATTATTATGATTTTTAAAATATTGTAATTACCGTGCACTGTAAAAAGTTATAATAATTAGTACATCCTGTAGCATTCTCGAAGTACGAAGGTTCATTTGATAAGTCACCATCTAGCAGTCTATCCAATATCTAGGTTGGAAAAGAAGGGAGAAAAAGAGAAGGAAAATAATTAGGGGGGGTGAAAATATATAGGTGCTTTGTCATGTAATATTCAATAACCTTCTCATAGCATAGTGGTTACGAATCAGGCTGCTAATCTCATGGTCAGCAGTTTGAAACTACCAGCTATTCCATGGGAGAAAGATGAGGCTTTCTGCTCCCATAAATATTTACAGCCTTGGAAACCCTGCAGAGGGTCACTATGAGTCGGAACTGACTCCACGGCACATAATAACAACAGCCTTCTCATTCCTTCATTTAACAAATCATCATTCAACAACCACAAGGTTGATGGTTCAAACCCACCAGCCACTCTTTGGAAGCCCTAGACTGGGTCACCATGAGTTGGAATTGACTCAACATCACTTAACAACAGTAACCTCAAAGTGACTGGAAGAAAGCTCATAACCTTATAGATTTCTCCTGCCCTTAGCTGGCAACTGTGTATTTCCTACCAACTCCAGAATCCTTCTCTGTGTAGGCATTGTCCTAGGTATTGGAGTAATTAATAATAAAACAGTGTACTTTCTGCCTCGAAGAGTTTATGTTCTAGAAAGAGACAATAAGTGATCTAAATGGGTGAGATGGGTAGTATGCCAGAGAGTGATCCGTGCTAAGGAGCAAAATAAAGATGAGAAGACAGATAGGAAGTGTCTGTGCTTGAATGCCTGGGTCGTTCAAAAGGAGTTCCCTTAGAAGTTTGGCATTTGAGTAAAGACCTGTTAAAAGGAAGGGAGGGAGCCAATGACAACATCTGGAGAAAGGAAACAGCAAACCCAAAGGTGCTGACTGTGGGAATTGGCTCTGTGGGAAAAAGGTGCCTTTCCATGGATGTAGACCACTCACCCCCAGAACTAAGAACAATAGCAGAGTGTGTGGACACAGATGAAGGCTCCTGGGGTTGGTGGAAGTTCTCTTTGGACTGCTAACACAGCCCTAAAACACACAGATGTCAGCTAAGGACAAGAGAAGTCAACATGATTATGACTTTCCCTCCAGCCGCTTTGTATGGGGGAGTGTTGTCATTGTTAAGTGATGTTGAGGCAATTCCAACTTATAGTGACCTTGTCTTGGGTTTCTAAGGAGCAGTTGGTGGGTTTGAACCATCAACCTTGTGGTTAGCAGCCCAATGCTTATCCTACAGAGCCACACCAGGAGTCCATGGGAGGTGTGGTGGTGGTTGTTTGTGTACCATGGAGTTGGTTCCAACTCATAGCAATCCTACAGAGAGTTTCAGAGGCTGCAATTCTTTATGGGAGCAGAAAGACGCATCTTTCTCCTGTGGAGCAACTGGTAGATTCGAACTGCCAACCTTGTGGTTAGCAGTCCAGTTTATAATCCCTTATGCTACCAGGGCTCCTTATGGTGGGGTGGGGTTTGTGTGTGTAGAGAGTTGGATTTAACCAGGGCTGTGCTTTAGCCAAAGAACTATGAGGAAGTGTGAAAAGGGCATGGAGTTGGGGAATGTGTGTAATGATTAACCTTGGGTTTCAGTTGGGTAATTAGAGAATCAGGACTATAGAGGAGGCAGTAGGGTCAGTGGGTTGAAAAACGATGGGGTTGAAGGCCTGTTAGAGGTGTATTAGGAGAAGCCAGTCAAAATGAAGGCTGTGAGTAGATGGAGAAAGGAATGCTTGAATTTGGGGCTGTGGAGTGATGGCTGGTTTTCTGGTAATGGGAATGAGTGGTTCAGGGTAAAGAGGAGAATAAAATCACTGACACAGAAGAAGCTGAGGAACTGAAACACCAAGTACTAAAAGGATCCTCAATGTAAAATATCGAAATCACCAGGAATGATGACAAGAAAAATGGTGGAGATAGTGACAGTCAGGCAGGGGTTAAAATACTCAGCAAATGAGCAATCCAGGTGCTGGCAGGTCACCTCCAGGAGAAGTAGTGGGTGTTATCATCTGAGGAGATAAGAGTCAAAGCTTAATGTTTTAGAGAGATGGAGAGAGAATGATCTGGAAGAAGCAAAGAGGGCCCTTTCTCTCTGAACCAGGTAGGACCAAGAATGTAGGGAGGAAAATAGCAACTGCTTGAAAGAACTGCTTGGGAGGCATCGTCATCCAGGAGAGCCAGGTTTGGGTAGAGCAAGAAGATAAAGAGACTGAGGATCTAGACATCTTTTGATGATGTCATTGGGTTGTAAGGAACAGTTGTGGAAAATGTTCTGAAAATTAATTCAGTGCATCTAAAACAACATCTATCAAGTATGAATTAGGTTTTTTACTAGACAAGCCATTATTAACTTTGTTTTACAGATGAAGAAACTGCAGCACATAAAGATTAAGTAACTTGCCAGAGACAGTCACTAGTAAGTGTCAGAGGTGAGCTCCAAACTCAGGCATGGCCCTTCAGTCTACAAGCTCAACCATACACACAGTGGGCCTCAGATGTAGGACTGTGGCACATTCTAGGCTTCCATTCCTTCTGGTCATGTTTTTGTTTTTCATATAAAATCTCATTATTTTATTTGATTAGTTTTCTTTTTCAAATATGCAAGAACTTAACTTATCCGAGTTAATACTGCCTCAGGTGGGGAGGAGGAATTAGTGACTACCGTATGAGCATTCTTTAGCAGTGCTCCCTTGCTGAAGGCCCCCGCTTGTGGTTGGAATGGTTGAGTCAACTGCACTGCATGGACTCTGGCTGATGACTGAGAGGGAGCAAGAAATCAGCCAAAGCTCCATGTGACTTGCCAAGCTATGCTACATGTCCTATCTTATCTTACGTCTAGAAAATGGGCTGCCCTTTATCCTCACACAAAAACAGCATCTGCTTGTCAATCCCTGATTCCACAAGACTCGGTTAGCCTAGAGGAGATCTCTTTGTCTAATTTGTCCACCCCAAGGGATAGGCTATAGATTAGCAATGGATTCCCAAAACAGAGTATTTTTGGAACTCATATTCAGAAAATATCATCAACGTCGATGGGAATGTCAAAATCACCCTTTAAGAATGTATTTGGAAACCTGGCGTAGTGCTGTGGGCTAATGTGCTGGACTGTAAAGTCAGCTTGAACCACAAGGTTGGTGGTTTAAGCTCACCAGTCACTCCTTGGAAACCCTATACAGGGTCGCTATGGGTCGGAACCGACTTGACGGCACTCAACAACAAGACTATTTGATTTTTCAAAAAGTCAAAATCATTTGCAGTTAGACAAATAAGGTGGGTGGTCAAATGCTGTTAAGCATAACTAAAGCGTATTTCATAAAGGAACTCTATGATCCAGAATGCTGCCATCAAATGAGAGAGACTCATTGGGACCAGAGATTGGATGTTTTACATGCCACAGAATCTCTTAAGATGTCTGAGGATGTTAATAGAATGCCTGACAGTGAAGCAGAAATAACCCCTACTGCCATCAAGTAAGGAGTCCTGGTGTGGCGTAGTGGTTACGACTCGGGCTGCGAACCTTAAGGTCAGCGGTTTGAAATTACCAGCTGCTCCGCGGGAGAAAGATGAGGCTTTCTTCTCCTGTAACGATTTACACCCTCGGAAACCCTGTACAGGGTCGCTATGGGTCGGAACCGACTCGACGGCACTTAACAACAACAACAACAAGCCATCAAGTAAGGAGTCCTGGTGTGGCGCTGTAGGTTAATGAGCCAGACCGCAAAGCCATTTGAACTGCAAGGTTGGCGGTTCAAGCTCACCAGCTGCTCCTCTGAAACCCTATACAAGGTCACTATGGGTCGGAACCAACTCGAAGGCACTTCACAACAATAACAATCCATCAAGTAAATTCTGTCTCATACTGGCCGTACAGTTTCTGAGGCTGTAAATCTTTATAGAAACAGACTGTCTTATCTTTCTCTCTCGGAGCAGCTGGTGGGTTCAAGCCACCAACATTCATTTAGCAGCTCAACACTTAACTCATTGTGCTACCAGGGCTCTTTGAAGCAGAAAGACTGGGGTGGAAACTGGGGCAGGGGTGGGGGTGGGGAGGAAATCATTCTAGTCCCAGGCCTGCCTGGGCCTTTGTGTGGCCTTTGGCAATTCATTAGGCCTCAGTGTCCTCAAGTATCAGTAAAATGTGTGTGTATGTGTATGTGTGTGTGTGTGTTGGAGGATAGAAGAGGGTGTAGGAGATGATACATAATCCCCTCCAGCTTTGACTTACTGCTTTCAAATTGACTAAGTGATTAACTAAATATTTAAGGAATCAGAGAAGCAAACAGGCATTATTACATAAGCTTAGAATTTTGACATTTGCTTGCTCCTGGGTTTCAGGATTTGTTGGGAGTATTTCCCTGTCAACAGTGAAACATATTTCACCATCAGTTGCTTACGTTCCTATTATCATTTTGCCTGTTTTTCTTGAAAAAGCAGATTTATTAATGTCTAATTTCACCATTCAAGATATTGACCCAGTGGATACAAAGATATTCTGTATATTTAGGAGTTTATTTTTAAATTGTGGGGTGTTGATCATTGTTGTTTTTATGACTCTGACTTGGTTCCATTTCACTTCATTGGCTATCTTCTCATAACATCTCTGATGACTTCAAATATATTAACATTCACCAGTTTCACAAATCCTGTGGGGTCTGGGTTGCTGCTTCTTGTACTGTGGAATTTTTCTTCTGTCTTTGTCCCTTTGGGCCTATCAAATGCTCTTGCTTTTGACATTGCTTAATCCTTGCTTGCGTCTTTAAAAACATATCAAATGCCTCACTTCCAGATTGGTCTCATGTCACATACAAATGTGATATTGATTCACTCTTTCTTACCCTCTCTCCTTACCACAGCAGATCACTGAAAACTCATTTTGAAGATATTGTCATTGCAAGTTGAATCACGATCCTACATGTCCCTGATAAGCTCCTATCCCCTTTACATTTACACTTGCACCAGGACATCTAAATCAACACTTGTAGTCACATCTGGGGTCTAACATAGAGAAAGGTGAGCTGTTAGCATCCCAATAGTGGGTTGCTTTCCTTCCTAATTCCAGCCGCACAGCCTGCTGTTGTCCAAATTCCTGGTAGGAGAATCACTGCCTGAGGGAATTTTCAGGAAGTGCCCTGGCACCATGCTTGTAAAACGCAGCATAATTTCTTGTTACCTCCTTGCTCCCTAAGTTGTTGTGTCTTCTGGTTTTATCAGAACCAGCTGACTTCCACTGCCTAGAAGACTATTAGTATTAAGATCCAGCCTTAATAACAACAATGACGTTAGATGTATTGTTATAGGATGTGATTCTAGTCACAAGGTTGTTGTTGTTGTTAAGTGTCACCAAGTCAGTTTCGACCCATCTCGACCCTGTATAGGGATTCTGAGGCTCTGAGTCATCGAGGGAGCAGAAAGCCTCATCTTTCTGCCGTAGAGCAGTTGGTAGGCTCAAACCGCAGATCTTATGGTTCACAATCTAAATCTAGTGCTTATCATATGGAATCACTGCGCTCAATTAGCAACCTCAAAATTCAATGATTGACTCATTTACTAAGGTGTCATATATGATGATTCTATAGTAAACAGGGCAGAAACTCCTAAGGATGATTGTTCACATGACCTTGGTGTGCATTACATGACCTTGGTCAAAGAAGCATAATGTCTTGTACCCTAAATTTAGTATATTCTTACATTTCAAAGAAACAAAAATAGGGAGATGCCATTAAAAGACACTGGAATTTTCCACAGACTTTTTGAAACTCCTTCATCTAACTAATTTGTTTGACTCTCAAATTTGATTTTAAGGGAGCAATATAGTAACATTCACAAATACCAATGACTCTTTGTAAAAATTTTCCATATACTACACTTTGTAATCTCTGTTCCTGATGCATGGGAACATGTGATATTTGTTACACACTGTGGTCATTTCTGCAGCTGAAACTCTGCTTGTGGCTATCACCCTCTGAAGGGCTCAGAACACATGTGGAAACATATGCATCTACTTCCTTTATTGCCTGCCTTCTGATTTCCATATGATTGGCTATGCCTGTAGGGCCCACCAAGAATTTAAAGAAATCAAAACAGTTCATGAAACACTGAGTTACAAAAATTCTCAAAGGCAATCTCAGGTAATTCAAAGAAACAATGACAGTCCTTTTCTTCATTAGCATTCTACTCATTTCACTTCATCATCTACAACCACACAGCATAGCAGATACCCTCTCTAACCAAACAAAGGGAAAGAATAAAAGATACAAAGCAAAACATGGTGCTTCTATTGACCCCTTCTCTGCTCACATGGTTTTAATTGCTCAAGGGCAACCCAGGGCCCCAAAACTCACTTCAAAGGCCTCCGTCCAGTTTCCCTCCTTGATGTGTTTTACACACTCATCACACTGGTTCTGGAAGTACTTTCCCTGCCCTTCATCCAACAAGCCAATTTGGTACAGGAATTCTGAATAGCCCCCTATAATCTAAGAAAAAAAGAGACAAACACAAACATCACAAAGAAAGAAAGGGAGAAGTTAGGGTAGACCATTTGTCTGCTGAAAGAACTCTTCCTTGTGAATCTTGAACTGGAATTAGCCAAACACAAACACTCACACACACACACTCACACACACATGCATTTACTGGCACCCATAGTAAACCAAGACTGACACAGAAAGTTGACGCCTTAAGACATTTGGTAAAAATTAGAAGTTCAAGTCATTAGAAAGTCAGTTGAGCAATGGGATCGCCCTTTATCCCATGAGGCCCCCTCCATCCCATAAAGGGGATTCAATCTCTTTATGACACAAAATGGAAAGAAAAAGGAGACACCTACTGATACTGGATCAGAATATGCATCTCCAATAGCAATGCCTTTCAAGTGGATCTTCAGCTCTGCCGAGGGGTTGAAGGTATGGATGTAGTGCGCAATGGCAGGCACATATTTCCCTGCATAAGACTGAGAAAGGTACATGTTAAAATGGACAGTCACAAATTGATACTAGTAAAATGATATGCACTTGTTGTTGTTGTTGTTAGGTGTCATCGAGTGGGCACCGACTCATAGCGACCCTATGCACAACAGAACGAAACACTGCCTGGTCCTGAGCCAACCTCATAACCATTGCTACACTTGAGCCCATTGATGCTGCCACTTTGCCAATCCATCTCGCTGGGGGGGGGGGGGTCTTCCTTGTTTTCTCTGACCTTCTACCTTACCAAACATGATATCCTTCTCCAGTGACTGGTCCCTCCTGACAAGGAGCTCTGGTAGGATAGTGATTACGAATCAGGCTACTAAACTCAAGGTCAGCAGTTCAAAACTACCATCAGTTCTGTGGGAGAAAGATGAGACTTTCTGCTCCCATAAGGATTTACAGCACGTAACCACCACGCCTTCTCTCTCTTTGATATGCACTTAACCGAGTTAAAATAATAACGAAGCAGCAATATATATACCATCTATTTCTTAACACGTTGCAAATTCCACAAAAGCGAAGAGCACTGTCTCACTTCTTTTGTAGCCTCAAATAACATCGAGGAAGCCACAGAGTAAATGCACAATCCATAATAAGTGAACATTCTCATTTCCTTCTGAAATAAAGTAACATGAACCGGAGCACACATTTCTGTCACTCATGGGGCTTTTCATACCAGAAAATTCCATTAAAAGCTTTATTAAAGAAAAGAGTCCTGAAGTCTCAAAACAGGATTTCTAAATCTATAAGATGATGGAAAATCAGAAATTAATATATATTAAGTCAGTAGGAGAGGAAGAAAGGAAAATCATTTTTACTAAGATTGTCACTTAAACTTATCTCAGTATTTTGAAACCTTTACCAGCACAAGGTCCTTTTCCAAGATCAAAATTGTTTATGGATATTGTTTCCCCCAATCGACCAAAGAAGGAGAAGGAAAAAACCAAGCTACTACAGATTCAATAATATTTTCAATTTGTTGTAGTTTTCCATCAGTGACATGTCCACTTGGGTGTCTAATAGCATACGTTCACAGTGAAGTTCCCAACCTCCAAGCCTCCACTCCTGTTACAGGAAACATTCAGATCAAACATCTTGGTGCCATCTTGCTATTGCTCTTACTCTCATATCTCACAAAAATCCATCCCCTCTGCCTGTTGTTGCTAGGTACTTCCCAGTCGATTCCAACTCATACTCTGTAGGCAGAGTAGAACTGCTTCACAGGATTTTCTTTTGCTCAGTGTTCTACCCATGATGACAACAACTAGAATTGTCAGTTCTATGACTTCTCTGACCTAAGTGACCACAGATGTTCTAGGAAACCCCTGAAATTAGAACACCAACCTTCTAAGATGGCATTCTGGTTTTGTAAAAGCTCGGCTCAGCACTTAAAGCAATTAGAAAAGGAAAGACCCAAAATGCAACCAGAAATCATTTCAACACACATTATTTCAGAATTTGACAGTGACTTTCAAATGAGGGACTGAGCCAGATAAATATGTTTACCTAACACAACCATTTCAACTGCCATAGGACTCAACACATCTAGGTTACTATTCCTTTTTAACAGTTGGAGAAGCACCTAGCTGCCATTTCTAACACTGTTCGCCTTAGTTGATTTTTCCCATGGTTCCTCTGACAAGAAGGACCAGAGATTTCAGGGTGCATTTGTTCATGCTTATATTTGCCGGAGTTTGCAGGAGCAATAAACCTATCTTCCTCTTGCATCACAGGGATCTCAGAGTTCAGCTCGCAGTGTTTTATTTCCCCCATGAGAAAAAAAGGTCTCAACATAGCAGTTGAATAGTACTTTCGAATCTTGGTCTGCATTCTCTCTGAGTTTTTAAACGAGTTTTGGAACTGCCTAATGGAAATCATGTTAGGAGCACATTATACTTGTAAAAATAGTCTAGAGAGAATGTAATGCTTGGTTAATTATCCAGATGTGTGAAAACACAATGAAGTTGGACTTAAAGAAACTTGTAATTGTGTAGTCTGTCTGACTCTCCCTTCTCACATCTTTCAACAACATTCATAGCTGACTTACTGTACCCTGCCACCCTGTAACTTTTAAGGGAGGAAAAAAGATTCCGTATCTAAGAATCAAGCTTCAGTCCGCTCCTCCAGGCAAAAAAATAATAGTGTCAGAGAATAACACTATAATGGAAACAATGTCCTCTTAGGAATTTCGCATATGTTAGCACTTAGTATTGTTTAAGCTCCTCTCCCATCAGCTGCATTTCTTACTGAAGTATAGTAGAAAAAGGAAGGAAAAAACAAAAAGAATGCATACTCATTCTTCTGCCTGGCTTCTGGGTATGCCCTATATAGCGTAACGTCCAGAACTTTATCTGTGATGATGAGCAATGACCCAAATGCACACAAAGTTTCACGATCGGCAATCCTAGTTGCCCTCAAGTCTGCCTGGCAACTGAAGAAGTGGGGTAGTTGGCAGCCTCAGCAATGGTATGTTGAGGAAGGTCAAGGTCATTAGAAGCCTTCTTCCTTGTTCTGTGTTAATCCCCTTCCCTAGTCATTCTGCCTGGAATGACGGTCTCTTTGAAGGATTCACTTCTGGGCATCTGTGTCTGCCTCCATGTCCTTAGAAGAACCAAAATGGGTTGCCCTCGTGAAGAGAATCACATGAGTACTTTGTCCCCTAGCTTCTCCCATGCAAGGGACTCCCAACTTCCAGACACAGACTGTGTGGTTCAGCCACCTCCATTTCTGGGAGGCGAGCAGAGGGCACAAGAGGATATACCTAGAAGAGCTTTTGATGCACATATTGAAAGCTCAGGGTCACTGAATAGACTCAGACTCATGGCAACCCCATGTGTTATGGGGTAGAACTGCTCATGGGGGTTTCTTAATGCAGTCTTTACAGAAGCAGACTGACAGGCTTCTAGAGGTGGGTTCGAACCACTAGCCTTTCAATCAGTAGCTAAGCACAAAATGTTTGTGCCACCCAGGGACCTTCCATACACTGAAAATCCAACACAAAAAAACAAACCTAGTGAAAACCCTAAGCTTAATGGAGTCGCACAAGATGCAGCAACCAAGAGGACAAGATGATGCTAGAGCGACCTCTTGACTTCATTTAGCCTTGGGTGGAAGTTCACTTCACTCAGCATTATTATATTCTCTGAGGGGAGAAGAGGTGTGGTCTTAAAATGGCCAGCTTGGAAAACTAATGAATGAGGAAAGCTGAAACTTTAGTGTTGTGGTAATCTCCACAACTTCCTAGACATTTCTAGACCATGCGTCATCTAATTTCAAGACCACACTGCTGCAATTAAAAAGAGAAATGGCTTCTAACAAGAATATGTCTTTATCAAAATATCTGTTTCTCTTGAATCTGAGCTTAAAAAGAAGTTTGGAAAACCTATTGGGATAGACGCAGAAAAGATTTTGACCAGTTGCCAACTTTTAGTCATATAAACATATGCAAAGATATATGCTCCCTTCCAGTGGATAGAATGTTCGCTTGTATTGAGAGAGTACTTCTTTTAAAAGAAAAATCCATTAGTGATGGGCATGGGTGGAAAAGATGCACTCCTTCCTACGCCCAGTCCCAATTTTGGAGAAACCCAGCTTGAAGCCAGGTGACTCAACCAGATGAATAAACCCTTTGTTTAAAATGGAGACTCCAGTTAATTTGACTTTTAAATAAACAGTATAAATGCACTAGGCCACAGTCAACAAACTGCGTCCTTTGTTTGCTCACTGTAGATAGGGTTCAGGAGGTTCAAGCTGCATAATAGATTTATCTTAATGTTTCCTGCCCTGAACCTAGACAATCTAATCAAGTACTTGGTCCAGCATGGTAGTTCACTTCAGACAAAGCTTATAATGATTTCCGACTTAACTCATAGCTGTTTCCACGCAACCAAAGAATCGATAAAATATGTGTTGATTGATTTGGATGTGCTCTTCAAAAGCCTGAGGCCATATGCCCCTGCTAAATTCTTCAAGTTGCAGCTTAAACCTTGATTTTTTTTTTTTTTCTAATACTAAACTCATTAAGTAGCCACAAACAGGTTGCAATTCTAAAAGAAAGAATTGGCAAGTACAGATGAGCCTAACTGAAAATAGGCATTTGTCATGGGCTCCGGAGTTAAAGCAATTTGAATGCAATCTCGTAAAATTCAGCAAATCCCAAGCTTTGAGAAATAATTGCATTCCAAGGACTTCAAGTCTTTATATCACTTGAAGCTTCCATATAGTCTATAAAACTTTATGATCAAAGCCACATCTTTATGATTAAAACTAAGTCTTGGCCAGAAAGTCAGAAACATCCAGCAACCAGAGAATTTCCATTTGTTGATTACACTACTAGAGATTTAAGGAGCTCTGGTAGCATAGGGGTTATGAGTCAGGCTGCTAACCTCAAGGTTAGCAGTTCAAAACTACCAGTGGCTCTATGGGAGAAAGATGAGGCTTTCTGCTCCCATAATGATTTACAGCCCTAGAAACCCTATACACAATTGGTATGAGTGGGAACCAAGTTCAGGCACATAGCCACCAGAGAGTTTGCACACAATAAAGAAGGGGAATGTTTGTCTCTGATCTACAGAATGTGGCTCTGTTTTGTTGGACGTGCAGTTCTCAGTAAAGAGAAACCAGAATCCAGAGAGCATCACAGGCAAGCAGGGTTGCATACAATCCAGCAGGGGACTACAGTCTGCAGGCTCTGGTGTCTGCCTGCTCAGGTTCCAGTCCTGGCTCCTCCACTTTCTAGCAGGATGACCTTGGTCAGGCATTCTTAACTTCTCGAAGCCTCAGTCACTTTGCCTGTACAGTGGGGGCGATAATAACAGTGCCTGCTTCATGAAGTAGCTGTGAGCATTAAAGGAGGTCATGTGTGGAAACACACTCGGCACAATGCTGCCCTATGGTCAGTTCTCAACAAATATTCCCAAACAAGATCTTACAGATACGACAGGTGAAGTAGATGCTCTCTAAGGTTTCCTCCTTGCTAATA